TATATTGACTTGCCGCTTAATATACTTTTGTGAAAACAATTTCGATCTTTTAATTTGTTATATACTAATAGTGGAATACGACACATGAACAAAAAAGTAATTTTGACCAATCTTAGGAAACCATGACATCTTCCTAACATTAGTCAGGCTGCATGTGATGGGTTAAAAGAATCATTATTTATGGATACAACTGAAGAATGCATCTGAATATCTGTGAGGAAAAGGTCTCGTTGTTGCTTCTGAACTGCTGTGAAAGGAATGTTCCTTCAGTTTCCTCCACTCACTCCTGAGTTGCAAACTAATTGGCATATATGTGTTCTTTTGCTAATTAATAGGACCTAGCAGGAGATGACATCCAGAATTTGCGCACATTTTTCCGAGCAATGTACAAAAAGGTTAGTCTTTTGATTTTGGCAGCTTTTTGCATTACAAGCTAATTTGCTTTATTAATCAAACGATCCTACATGCATATCAACTGCAGGTTACTGAGGCTGACATTGAGGAGTTTGAAGCAAACTACAGAGGCTCTGATTCTGAGAAAACAGATTTGCTTAATCTATATAAAAAGTGCAAGGGTAACATGCACAGGTATATCTACGAATGTGCTTTAACATAAATCTCAAGGTTACCCATTGATTATCAATTCGTTTATGATATGTAGGCTTTTCTGTTGCATGCTTTGCTCTGATCCTAAGCTAGATTCACATCGATATAAGGACATAATTGATGAGGCTATTACAGCAGGTGAGATTTTCTAACTTCAAGAACTCTTGGTAGGGCCTTCAACTTTTACCCTCGTTATACTATTTGGAGTAGTCATCTTTTCTTTTCTTTTCTTTTTCTTCCCTGTGGCAAACTCTTGAACTGATTGTTTACACGTTTATAGGAGAGCTGAATTCAACCAAAGCATATGAGAAATGGGCTAAGCAAGTGTCCGAGACAAAACCACCTACAAGTCCACTCAGACAGAGGAAGAAGTGAGTTATGTTTCTGTTGGTTTCCAATATGTTAGTTTCATTTGTCTTCTCAGTATTATCTATTCTCAACTGATTCAATATATATTAAATGCTTGTGAAATACATTGCAACAGATCAAAGAAAGATTCGGAAGACTTGTATGCTATAATTGCTCAGCGCCAAAATGAGAGGAAAGGCAGGATTGATTCGATGTTCTCATCTCTGGTTCAAAAATATGGAGGTGAAACAGTTCCTGAGCCTAGCGAAGAAGAATTCGAAGCTACACGAATAAAACTTGAAAGGCGGAGGACATCAAAACGGAAGTAACTATAACCTGTGCCCTTTTGAATCCCGACTTTTGGTTTCTGTAAAATGATATTCATTCAGCCGACTCTGAAACCGGGTAACAGAAATTTGTCGTGTTTATGCTACTCAGCTACGACTGAAGGACACTGACTATTTTAAGTAGATTGGAAATGTTGGAAACATGGCTGCCCTTATCTGAATTTCGGAGAATGTTGTTGATATTGTCATGTTTATAATTTGTTTGAAATTAGTGATGCTCCCATGTTTATCGATTAAGTTTCTGAGGGAACGGAGGAATGTTGGGGTGGTTAAGGGGTGTGAAACTCTTGATAAAATTAAATTTCTGGGAGAAAAGCAAGTGAAACAGATCTGGCTCCAACTTTGTTTGGCCCTAAGCATTCGCTATGTTTTATCGTAGAGGAAGCATTTTCAAATAATCTCTTTAAATTTTTGGGTTTTTGGCTATAATGCGGGAATGGACTGAGACAATTCAATCAAATTAAAGTGAAAAAGGAGATTGGAAAATGCTAGTGTTTGTCTTGTACCCTTCTAAGAGCAAATAGTATTTATTCACACGCTCACTTTAAAGATATTAATGCTTTGGTTGGTATAATATTCAAGTGTTGTTTGGTGGACCGTAGGCAGTCTTCCTATTTCTTCTTTGTCTTATATAGCCCTTGTATGAGTTGTATTATTGTAAAAATGAGAATGAAAAATATAGTCGTTATGAGTTCTATATAAGAGATAAAAAGTCAAATATGGCAACTTGATGTGACGGATAAATGTCATATTTTTCATTTTAATGAGGAAATAATGAGGCTTAAACAAGGTCATAATTAAAAATGTCCCACTTCTTTTTATTTCACACCATAAATTATTAGGGATGGATGGCTTAAATTGAGACATAAAATGATCATTTATTATAATTTGCTTAACCAGCTTATTCTTCTCATCATGAAACCAATAAAATATGGATTGTGGTTCGTTGTGGACAACAGTGTTTAGACAGTTCTTGTTCCCTAAATTATTGGGGGCACATTCCACGATTAATCACTCTCACAATGTTCTAGAGGCGGGGCGATGAGAGACCCTTAAGGTTGGGGGTTCAACCTTTAATAAACTAATTATAAGTGACAATTTTATCTTATCATTTCTCAACTAAGATTAATTTTGGGAATTGCATTATTACTTTGTCGTTTCTCTAAGTGCCTAAATATTTAAAGTGAGCATTTTCTCATGTACGCAAGCTAATTCATCTCAAAATGTTCTCAAGTTTGTATCAGTAAATTTGAAATTTCTAAGTTTAACATACGTTTATTCTTTTATATTATGTGAAATTTTACTTTCTAACCACTTAATTGTCTACATATTGCTTGATTACATCTAAAATTTGAGATATTTTCCCCAATTATCACTAAAATTTGTAAGAAATTTCAAAATGGTCGTTAAAATATTTTTCTTACTTTATTATTTATTGAATTTTTTAATGGTTTCACAACTTGGAATACTTAGATATATATATCGTTGGCATGTTAAGGTCATATGTATTAAATGATAGATATATTTGCAATTTTCTCCAGTTATCGATGCATTAATTATAATACTTGAGTTTAGCCACAATATTATATCTCTGTGCACTTACAAACATCAAAAATCTTAAATATGGACTCGTGGTCTAAGTGATCTTGTTACACAGACTTGGAAAAAAGAAAGAATAAAAAAGATTGAATTTTGCTATTTTTACACTGGTGTTGAAACGTCGTTGTACACGCCCCTCACATGACGGCCCACATCCAAATAAAAAAAAAGTGTGGATCCCTTTTACGTGAGGGGCGTGTACACTGACGTGTCTATGCAGTACCATTGAAAAAAGATTAGATAGTCAAATCTTTCCACCGACAAAGTTTGAAAATTTTCACTTTTTATTTATATTTTTGCTACGTGGACAAAAATACATGGAAAATGACTCCTACAGCAGCAAACGTTTGAATGCTTTTTCAGTTTTCTTTAGAGTTATGTCCCAAGGGGCAAAAATTAAGTCAATACTCCAATGTTCAAAGCACATCAATTATCTGATAAAACTGGGCCAAGGAGTAACTTATAATAAATTTCCAAGAAAGATGAGCCACGCAAACTTTGTTATTTTTTCCACACGCTATTGATGGTTTGCAAGAATTTTATTGTGTTTGACCCGTGCAATTTAGGGGTAATATAATTTACCAGCATATTCACTATTCAGTATGCAATATATTTTAAATAACATTCATTTTATAAATAAGATTTTATTATTTTTTGTTCAATATTATTTAATCAATAATATTATTTATCAACATTGATATTCAACGTTGGTGTCATCTAGTGAATTATATAATTTCACATTCAATTGAACATATTAAATAATGCCACATAAATTAATATCACTAGTGCAAGAGAGTTTTATCAAACCATTTAGGGCACGTTTGGTTTGTATTTCGATTTTCAGTTTTGAGTACGTTTTCTATTTTCTGTTGTCTATTTTAAGATTTTTTTTTTAAAACGTGTTTAATTTGTTATTTTGAAAAATTGTTTCTCAAAACAGAAAATTAGAAAATGCGTTGGACTTAAATTTTTGAAAAATTGATTTAATTGCATTTTATTCCATTGAATTTGATTCAATAAAAAAGAACAAATTTACTTTAATATATTATTAATTATTAAATACATTTTAAAATTGATGAATCTCACAATATTATTTCTTACTAAAAAATTAAAAATATTAATAAATTAATTTCGAAATATGAAATAATAATAATAAAAACTAATGCGCAGCTTCATATATTTTTGTTTGTATTCATTTAAATGTTTTTTAATTTTTTATATAAATAATCATTAATAGCTCAAACTATTTTTTATTTTTTATAATTTTAAATTTTTTAAAGACTCAAAATATTAAAATATAGTTTTAAGTTTTATATTATAAATTTATCATTGTCTTCAAAAAATTTATTTTTAGAAATAACAAACGAAAAAATATTTTCAATATTTTGCTAAATTAAAAAATCGAAAACTGCTTGAAAACTACAAATCAAATGCAGCCTTAGTATTTAGACGGAAGTTGCAATCAACCCAATAATGCTTAGGTACGAAAATCATCATTAGTCAGTCATCTAATTTATTGCGGGTTTTTAGTTGGTGGGTGGGGCTATTTATCTTGAATCAAATCGTAGTGGGTCTAGAAATGTTGCAAAACTAAATTTTCTTGAACCATTTTATATTTATAGGTAGATTCCTCCAAAGGTCCCCAACATTTTATAAGAGTAGCAATCATGCTCACAACATTTCATTCGTCACATTCATGTCCCCAACTTCTAAATATTGCACATGTCGTATCCCTAGTTGACTCTTATATCTATTCAAATGTTAAATGGTAATGCGATGTGCATGTGATATTTCGTTTGAAAGGGTAAAAATTGTTCATAGAAGAGAAACGTTTCATTTGAGTTGAACAATTCCGTCAGTGAGGATACCGCTTGCATGGTGTCGAAAGGTTGGTGTCATTGTTGCCAAAAATGAAAGATTTGGAATATAACGCTGCACTTCCGAAAGATTGGGACCTCGTGAGGAATTTACCCTAAATTCTTTTGACAAATCAAAAGCCATCTAGAATATTTGGAATAAATCAGATTAAAAGCATAATTAGATAAAGTTAAATTTATAATATACAAAAAAACTGGGGTGGCGACGGTGATATTGTAACTGTACCCTTAGAAATATTCCTTTTTTGAATATTCATTCCTCCATCGTTCTGTAAATACAAGCAAAGTTCTTTGGCTCCACCCCACCCACGTCCACCCCCACGCAATATCTGTCTCAAGAAATTGTACAGCTTTGTACGTTACTCTTTATTTTTTCAGTTATTTTTAGATAATTAAGTTTTTTGCATAATGATGACAGGGCATCTGTAGCTCCCGTCGCAATAATCAACTTATTCTTCTAATTTTGTATTGTAACTCTACCTTTGCAGCTTTTCTTCACTCAGTGCCTCCTCTCGCTTACCACCCACTCCACCAATCCACACATAAACCCTTCAACACAAAGTCACATACACTTTGTAGTGGTGTCATAATTGTGGAATTTAACATTACAACTTCATTTCAAGGCCTCAAATTACTTTCAAGAACCAAGCTTTGAAAGCATCTTTTGCTTGATAAATACTAAGCAAACCCAAGATTTTGAGTTTTCTTCGTTTCTTGCTGGGACTTTACTGTAGACTCTGAAATTTATTGTTCGATTGGAGGTATATGAGTTAACTAATTGATTTGCGTCGATGTTGAATCGTTAACTCAAACTTGGAGTGACCCATCTGAAAAGTTTAGTCTTTGAAGGGTAAAAATGGAGACAGAAAATGGAGATTCCAAGTCCAAGATGGAAGATTATGAAGTATTGGAGCAAATTGGGAGAGGTGCTTTTGGAGCTGCATTTCTTGTTCTTCACCAAATGGAGAAAAAGAAGTAAGAATTTCTATTTCAAAGCTAGGTGTCTGTGCGTGCCCAAGATCTGCTTTTGTGTGAGTGTTTGGGTTTAGAGATGTGTGTTTGTGCTAGCGCTGTATGTGTGTGTGTGTGTGTGTGTGTGTGTGTGTGTGTGGGTGTGTGTGTGTTCACAAAATGACAGGGTAATAAAATTGCTAAGTTTATAATGCACAATTGTGTAATGGTTGAGCTGAACCTCTACCAAAACCAACCAAAATCATCACAATCAACTCACAAATGAAGATAACCAGCTGGGATTTAACAACCCAAGCTGTAACTATATTGATTGAACCAAACGTGTATTACAATAAAGAAGAAAGGAGGGAGATTGCAGAGAATTGGGGAAGAAGAAAGAGATACAAAATTCTGACAAATTCCAACTGAATCCGTTCTTATCCTCTGGTTTACTAAATTCAGTAAAAGACGTGTTTAAACGAGATACACTTATTGCAATTAAGTTGAAACAGTGTCGCTCCCAATTTCGAATTTCGTTTTGACCTCTTCTTCCACTGCGGGCTGCTCTTCTTCATTACATACCTCCCCCTCAAAATGACCTTGTCCCCAAGTTTGAAAGAGTGGATAGCGTTCCTGAATTCCAGTCGTATCCTCCCATGTTGCATCTTCCTTGTTAAAATTCTTCTACTGAATCATCCATTAAGTCACTGCTTGATTGTTCCTCTTTATGATTCTGGTCTGGAGTAATGACAAAGGATCCTTGTGATACTAACGACTCCCCTCCATCTGGCATCAATAAAATAGGAACTTGCTTATCACCTATCTTCTTCTTAAGCAATGACACATGGAACGCCGGGTGAATTCGTGAAGAAGTGGGTAAATTCAGCTCATAAGCAACCTGTCCAATTCTTCTGGTGATTTGGTAGGGGCCATAATACTTGGCAACCAGCTTCTAGTTAGACCTTGCCATCACTGAATGCTGTTTATAGGGATGCAACTTCAAATACACCCAATCTCCTACCTGGAATACTCTTTCCACTCTATGTTGGTCAGCATAAAATTTCATCATTGCTTGAGCTTGTGCCAAATGCTCCCTCAGGAGTTGATCCATTTGCCACCTTTCCTTCACCAAATCCTCCACTGTAGCAACATTGATTTGTTGGTGGGGTCCCAGAGCCAACTGTGGCGGCTTAATACCACATAGAGCTTTGAAAGGGCTCATCTTGATTGTTGTAGGTAGATGGTGTTGTATCATCAACCATTTAATCCACGCCTTTGGTTGATAAAAAGTCATACATCTTAGATACATTTCTAAACATTAGTTCAGCCTCTCAATTTGCCCATCAATTTGTGGATGATAGGCAAAACTTAGGTGTGGAGTAGTACCCAATAGTTTGAATAACTCTTGCCAAAACCCACTAGTGAAAACCTTGTCCCAATCTGATATCATACTCTGGGGCATACCATGGAGTATGTGGATGTTATCCAAGGAGAATTTAGCCATTGTAATTGCAGAGAATGCATGTGACAATGCTATAAAGTGTCCATACTTGGTAAAACGATCTACCCCTACCAGTATGACAGTTTTTCCTTTTGAAGCAGGTAACTCCTCGATGAAGTCCATTGATACGTGGCTCCAAGAGTATTCTGGTTCAGGAAGAGGGTGTAGCAAACCAGGGTAGGAACGTGTTCTCCTTTACATCTGTGACAAGTGTCACATTGGAGTATTTCTCTCTTATTGTCTTTACTCATTCCAGGCCAAAAGAAGTGTTGTTTAGCCCTTAATACACTGGCCTGAATACCTGAATGGCCTCCATTCTACGAAGAATGTATGTTCTGAATTAGTTTTCCCCTATCTGTCCTCCAGATGCAATCTATAGCCTCCCTCTATACTTGAGCATCCTATTGTAAAAAGTAAACTCAGAATCAGCCCTTCAATTTGTTGTGTAGCCAATTCATCATCCTTGTAGCTGTCTATTACCTCCTGTATCCAAGTAGGAATCACACTAGAAATGGTTTTTAATTGTGTAGTTTGTTCTTCCCTCCTTCAGAGTGCATCAGCTACAACATTGTCCACTCCCTTCTTGTATTGTATCTCATAATTGAGCCCAAGTAGTTTAGCTAACCACTTTTGTCGGATGAGTGTAGTTATCCTTCGTTCCAATAGATATTTTAGGGATTGATGATCTGTTTTGATGATGAAATGATGCCATTTAAGATAGTGTCTCCACTTCGCCACTGCAATAACTCCTTCTTATAGATGGACATCCCTTTACTGAAGTAAGCAATTGGCTTTCTATTCTACATTAAGACTACTCCCATGCCTCCGTGACAAGCAATGGTTCAATAGTGAATGGTGGATTAAAATCTGGTAATGCTAGGACTGTGTACTACGCATTTTTGACTTTAACCTCTGGAATGCCACTTCTGAATCTTCATCCCACTTGAAGCTATCCTTTTTTAATAGATAAGTCAGGGGTTTTGCAAGTACTCCATATCCCTTTACAAACTTATCGATAGTATCCTGTTACGCCTAGGAACCCCTCAACCGCTTGATATTACTAGGTTTGGGCCATTGTTGCATGGCACTTATCTTAGTCAGGTCTGCTGCTGTTCCAGCATCTCAAATGATATGGCCCAAATATTCCACTCTAGATCGGCCAAATGAGCATTTACTCCATTTGGCATACAACTTTTGTTCCTTCAATATTTCCAATACCTTGGATAAAGTGTTTATAGTGCCTCAAGGTTAGAACTGTAGACCAATATATCATCAAAGAAACCTAGTACAAACTTCCTCAAATACTCCTTAAAAACTTCATTCATCAAGCATTGGAACTTGGTCGTGGCATTAGTGAGTCCAAATGGCATGACCTTGAATTTATATAGGCCTTAGTGTCTTAAATGCTGTCTTACGTATATCAGTTTCAGCCACTCTGATCCAGTGATACCCAGCCCTCACGTCAGTCTTAGGAAACCATCATCAATCAACTCTTCAATTAATGGCATAATATATTTATCTTTGATTGTGAGGCTATTTAGCTGCCTATAATCCACATGGTTGCTCCATGTTCCATCCTTATTTTTAGCCAGTAATATAGGTGAAGCATAAAGGTTGTTGCTTTGTTGGATAATTCCATCTTCTAGCATCTCTTTCACCATCTTCTCTAATTCTGTTTTCTGTAAGTAAGGGCACTTGTAAGGTCTTATTTTGAAAGTTTGGGCTCCCTCCTTTAATGGGATTTTATGATCATTGAATCTAGGAGGTGTGGCATTCCCTTTGGTTCAATGAATACCTCGAGGTAGTGATCAATGATATCCTGGATGGCCTTAGGATTTGCTTTTTTTTCCTCTTCAATCACAAAGTAGATTTGTGCCATAATACCATAGGACTGCCTATGAAACCATTGACACATTTATTTCTCTTCTACTATTAGGATGTCCTCCTTTTCCAATTCACATTTCAATTCCACTTCTATTCCTTCGTAACAGAATCCGATGCTGCTCTGTTTGAAATCAAAGGGCATTGGGTTGAATTGGCTTAACCAATCAACACCTAACACCATTTCCTCCTAACCTCAACATGCTCAACTAGAGTCAACACTCCAATCCCTGTATGGTCCAACTGAGTGGATTACACATAGCATTATTGTTCAGTTTATCCCCATTGGCCACAATTACTGTCACAGGTTGAGTGGCTTCCACTTTATATTTCAGCTTCCATATCAACTTTTCATCAATAAAGCTGTGAGTGCTACCACTGTCAATGAGGATGGATACCCTTCTCTTCTTCACTTGCCCTGGTATTCTAATGGTCTTAGGTCTCAGGCTCCATGAAAGAGCATTGATGGATATCTCTATGACTTCCTCCTTTGCACAGATTTCTAGATTATATTTTTCTTCGCGATCTGGCTCCATTACCTCCTCATTTATTAGCATCAAGTTCCACATTTTGTTTTTGCAGATATGCCCTAGAGTATGCTTTTCATCACACTTAAAGCACAGACCCAAACTCCTCTTTGTTTGAATGTTTGTAGGGGTGATAATCTTAAACTTCAATGGTTGAGTTTTCTTGGCTTGGTTTAGGATTGGTGCTAGGTAGGTTTTTGAGAGCATTTTTGGGGGTTTTTGAGGTATGCTGGACCATCTCGGTAGGTAAGTGGGTTTGGTTTGGAATTTTAAGGTTTTGTTCAAGGTTGTAATGTTTTCTTGCAAAAGAGCTATGTCAAAGGCTTCTGATATAGAATTTGGTCTCATAATTTTAACCATGGACTTTGAGGCTAGACATGGTTCGATTCGATTCGATTTTCTTTATAATCGCAGCGGATCTGAATTTTCGGGTATCTAGTAAGAAAATCGGGTCCAAATTTAATTATGGATTTTTTTGGGTTCAGTTGCATTCGATTCGGTTCGGTTCTCAGATTTTGTATTATAATTAAATTTTTTAATATTTACAAAGTTATATTAATTCAATTAATGACATGTTCAATTTTAGCTCTTACAAAATAACGTAATCCAATTTTATGTATCTTTTGCATTTGTTTGTTGAATTTTTCATAGATTTGATTGTTAAAATTACAGAAAGAGGAAGATAGCGAGCTCACAATAATTAAGAGAGGCACAGTCGAGCTCCTATTCGATTTCTTCAGAATGGTGGAAACGACACTACGGCGGAACAACATATTTAGATAAAACTTAGGTTAATATAATTAAGTTGGACTTGGTCTGGATATTAGAAATAGGAAAATCATAATTTTGGATTTGGGCTAAATTTATTAGTTATCAAGTTTATTTAGAAAAAATAAAATAATTTAGTTTATTTAAAATAAATAAATTAAAAAATTCAATGAGATTCTATTTTTCAGTTCTAGATTGAGAACGAAACCAAATCTGTTGATTCTCGATTCAGATACCCGTCCAGCTATTTAATATAAGAAAAATCACTCGGTTTAGTTCAAGTCGGGTTTGGTTCATTCTGATTTGGTTCGGGAATTTTGTCTAGCCCTAATGGACTTGATCTCCGCTTTCAATCCACTGGTAAATATAGAGATATACTATGACTCTGGAAGATGGGGTAATGAAAGCATAACCTGGGATTTTAGATCTTCAAAGAATTCTTGATCTTCAGCCACACTGCCTTTCTGCCTAATTTTACTGAAGACTTCAATAACTTCCTCTGCTGTAGATTCAGCAAAACGCATGCAGATCTCCTTTGAAAATAAACTCCAATCTGCCATAGGGTTGCTATTGATGACCCTATGAAACCACACATGTGCTCTTCCCTCCAGATACATTTCTGCAATACTAATTCTAACTTTATCATGGACTTGGTGGATTTGAAAGTATTTTGTGCTTTTCTCATCCACTCCCTAGGGCCTTCTCCATTGAAATATGAGAAATCAATTTTGGGTAACTTAACCCCCATCCTTGTGTCACTTTTGTCATTACTGGTCCAAGATGTTATCCCCATTTTTGGTGTGAGTATTCTTTCATTGATTGTGGATTGCATAGAAATGTAAGATGAAAGTCTCATACACGGTTTTGAATGGGAGAAGTGAGGAATCATCTTTTGACTCTCCCACTCCAGTCGTTGCTCTTTTCAAAATAAAAAATAATTAAGAAATACTCATCGTAACCAACGGATTTGCCGGTTCACCAATCATTGATGGTTCTAGATACGCTAAGCCTACATTGCATCCCACTCTCTGGTTGCCTTTGGATTCTCCATTTTGCCCATTCCAATTTGTCTTCATGGCTACTATGTGTTCATACTTGGTGTTCATTTCCGTCATCAACAACTCCATCCGGTCATGTATGCTACACAGATTATGCAAAGTTTGATATGATCTTTCCACTTTCACACCCACATTTTTAAAAGCCTTGCCCAGATCTTCCACATTCCTATCCAATTTTTATTGGGTGTTCCTCTATTGCTTTGGCCCTAGTATCCATGGCCAGAATTTTGATGCTCTGATACCACTTGTAATGGTCAAGCTGAATCTCAACCAAAATCACCACAATCAACTCACAAATGAAGATAACCAGCCAGGATTTAACAACCCAAGCTGTAACTATATTGATTGAACCAAACGTGAATTAAAATAAAGAAGAAAGGAGGAGGGACATTGCCGAGAATTGGGGAAGAAGAAAGAGATGCAAAATTCTGATATATTCCAACTGAATCCGTTCTTATCCTCTGGTTTGCCAAATTCAGTAAAACATGTGTTTTGCTGGAAAGAAAAACGTGACACACTTATTGCAATTAATTTTAAGTTGAAACGGTGTTGTTCCCAATTTGACTTTCGGTTAGAGCGGTTTGTTTCTAATTCCCTTTCTTCCCCCACTGACTGGTGCTGGATTGTTGACCTCTTCTTCCACTGCTGGCTGCTCTTCTTCATATTATTATTATTATTATTATTATTATTTTTTTTTTTTTTTTTTTTTTTTTTTTTTTTTTTTTATTTTTTTTTTTTTTTAAAAAAAAAAAAAAAAAAAAATAATGCTTATTTTTTTTTTTTTTTTTTTTTTTTTTTTTTTTTTTTTTTTTTTTTTTTTTTTTTTTTTTAAGTAGCTCTTGTTCATGACAAATTGCTGATATTTGCTGGAGGAGTGAGGACTTTGGACATTTGGCTGGTTGCATTATTTAGAAATTCTGAAAAATGTGTTCTTCATTATATGATTATAAATGGGATTTCTGTGCATTTGTTAGAAATCTTGAATTGTCCTATTAATTTTCACTTGAAGAAAACTCCAATAGTCAACCATTGGGCTACAAGCATTTGATAGCACAATGTAGATAGAACATCATACAGCCTAATCCACAAATTCTTCTAGAAGCTGAGATGATTTCTCAATTAATGATAGACATTGGGGAAAAATGTTTATTGTTTATATTTCTCTTTAGAAATTGAGAAGCCATATGTTGGTTTTCTCTGGCCTATTTATATGGTACATAACCAAGCTAAGTAATTCCCATGATATGCATAGGAATTCATGTTTCTTCAGTTAATATAGGCCAAGTTACCTTGATATTCTAATAAAAATGGCAACCAATAAAACATAAATGTCACTATACCCTTGTTCACATGGATTAACCAAGTGAATCTTATCTGTTTCAAGAAGCTGCTGCAAGCAGGCACTTACTGTAATCTTATTAATAAACCTCTCACACGCCCAAATCTTCAATTTAAATTGACATGCAAGTCTCTACATAAATGTTTGATTATTTTTCTGTTATCTCTTGCAGGTATGTATTAAAGAAGATTCATCTGGCTAAGCAGTCAGAGAAGTTCAAACGTACAGCACATCAGGAGGTCATTTTATATGCTTTAATAATTTCGATGGGGAATATTATACATGTCATCGATAGGAAATCTTTTGTTCCCGTTAGTAATTATATCTATTATTCTTTGAATTGTTTCCTCTTATATGTTTTCATTTTAGACAAGAGACTAATCATCACTCTTATTGCAATCCTTTTCTTTTGATCTACATCTCGGTGGATATACTGATATTTATGGATTATGGCATTTGATATCATTGCATGTATCTTTGTACCTGTTTCAGATTTCAATTTTATTAGTCTTATCCATGTATCGTATGTAGTATTGAGTATGCATTTTATTTAGTTCCATGAGCTTAATTCTCCTTGTACATCCAATGTATGGAAATAATTTCTCTGACTCAATTGCATAATCTCGGCTCAGTGGAGGTTGATGACTTCAACATTCATGAAACCTTCTTAAATTGATTTTCCTAGGAAAGCTTCTGACACTGAATTTAAATGATAAAGGAGGTCTTTATCGAGTGAATAAATTATATTCAGCATGGCCAATTATTTTCTCTTACCTGCAGAAAAGACAGCCTTGTAAAACAGCTTAGTCTTTACCTTGAAAAAGTACGGCATCATGTAAACACAGTCATTCACCTCTCTCTCTCTCTCTCTCTCTCTCTCTCTGTGCTTGTTATCAAATTCTGAGTAGAAGGTCATATTTAATGGTGAAATTTATACTTAGTCTAATTCCTAGCTCCTCTATAAAGAAAATGAGAGTATTTTCGGACTGGACTGGATTGGGTTAGATGAGAAGAAATAAATGACGGCCAATCTGGTCTTCTACATTAAATTAAATAAAATTTGTTTGTCTCTCTTGCAGATGAATTTAATTTCAAAACTAGAGCATCCATACATTGTTCAATATAAAGATGCTTGGGTGGACAAGGTATTGTATAGTTTCTTCATCTATATATTCGTGATTGACAGCTACCACAAATTGCATTTATTTGTCTAAGAGTCTCTGTAGCTGAAGCTGATTCTTAAGACAACCTTTCACTTGCCGTTATTCTTCAGGGAAATTTTATGTGCATCATGACCAACTATTGTGAAGGTAGAGACATGTAAGTAGTCAATATCTGCTCAAACTACTGATTTTTGTCAAGTGAATCGATACTTGGTCTCTGGAACCTATAAAATTTTCAATGAAGCAAGTCCTTTGTTGAACACTAAGGGAAGTTATGCTGTTCTCGAGAATGAAGATTAATAAAACTTCCTCCATGTATTGTACATATTAATGGAAAGGTGAAAAATAATAATAAATCCACTCCTTGGATATAATTGCATTGGAGGATGTTGAAATTGTATATGTTGACAATAAAAATCGGAAAGGTAAAAAAAATAAATCCAGTTTATCGGATATAATTGTATTGATGGATGTTGATATTTCTCTCTTATTTATGCAGGTCTGAGATTATAAGGAAGGCAAGAGGAGCATATTTTCCAGAGGAGGTAATCAGATGGAAATTCATGTAGGAGTCCCTCTTAACTGTTTTGCTAACTTACACCTAGCTTCCAACGTCCTTGTTTTTGCTTTGCAGAAAATCTGCAAATGGTTGACTCAGTTGTTATTAGCCATTGACTATCTGCATTCCAATCGAGTCCTCCATGGGGATCTAAAGGTTGATTTATGGTCATTAACATACAATGAAGATGGCATTTATTGACTAGATCTTTTCTAACGTTAACTTATTATATTCCAGCTATCTAACATATTCCTCACAAAGGAAAATAACATCCGTCTTGGTAAGAAGGCCGAATCAAGTCCTTACAACAATTTGCTTTCTATATTTTTTCATAATAGTTACTTCGTTTTGTTCTCTACATGGAGTTTACAGGTGATTTTGGGTTGGCAAAACTTCTTGACGAGGAAGGCCTCACATCATTGGTACAAATTTATTCTCAAAGCTGAACTTGTACTTTGTTGTGCAACCGTATAGTCTGAATTTCTTTCTTTTCTAGTACATCAAGTGTAGTCTACAAAAACTTGTTCTCGCGATAAAAGGCATATTTATTTTTCCATGAAGATTTCTGGATAACTTGTATGACTCAAAATAGGTTGTCGGAACTCCCAACTACATGTGCCCCGAGCTTCTAGCAGATATTCCGTATGGCTACAAATCTGACATATGGTCACTAGGTAAGAAAATATTAATAAATTTGAAGTCCACTTTTCCTTGTTTCTCTTACTAATAGTGAAATCTTATAATTTTTCAGGTTGCTGTATGTTTGAGATCGTTGCACACCAAGCGGCATTTAGAGCTCCTGTAAGCCATGTTTAGCTTTACGTTTAGCCCCTGTTGATGGAATATATTTTGAAACTCTTTTATATACATAGTCATTTTCAACCACACATTTACATAATAAAATATTGTGCTCGTAAATCCAAAAATTTTCCATACTTTTTAACCGCACATTCTCCAAAAATTCACTATTCATATCAATGTATTTCATAAAAGGCAACTGCAATAGCATTAGTTCAATATGCAATATGATTCTATAACAGAATAGCTGAATCAAACAGGATATGACCGGACTTATCAACAAAATAAACAGATCCTTGATCTCTCCACTTCCCATTGTATACTCTTCTACACTGTAAGTCTTCACCATATTTACGACCTAGCATTTTCTTCTTCCACATTAGCTAGTTCTTTACCACGCTATGAAATTACAAAAATATGTATAATGGCCTTAAATATCTCAGGAAACAGATAATTAAGAGCATGCTAAGGAAGAGTCCAGAACATCGGCCTACAGTGAGTTTCGAACTTAATCTTTCTTTTCCATTCTTACTTACATGGCCAAATTATCATACTGGTCCTAATTCCCATATATCTTGACATTATAGGCTGCTGAACTTTTAAGACACCCACATCTGCAGCCATTCCTCCTGCGGTGTCCTGTCCCATCCCATGTCTTCCTTCCCGTGACATCTCCAAGCAGCACATCTCCAAGCAGCACGAAGGAGAAATTGAGAAGAGCATCTCCTAGACAATCTCGTGGTGGGAAAGACAAGGTCAAAACACTGGCAAAACTAAAAGAGAGGAGACTGTTTCCAGAATCTGGGGAAAATACTGATACTCGACCTCTAGATTTGCCGGATAAAGAGGCGTTGATGGAAGACAACCTTGAGACCAAGAGGGTTGATCCCACAAGTTATTCTGGAAAGATTTCTCATGACGGTGAAGATGAAAAAAGTGGGGATACAAGTTGTGAGACAACTGCTTACAGTGGAGATTATCAGGACAATTTCGCCTCGTCATTGCATAAAGAGAGCACAAACACTGTGGACGGTTCAACATTACAATCAAATGCACTACCTCAAGAACAAGAGGAATGTTCCCCCGATCATGATCCAGAATTGGAAGCACTTGACAGAGAGATTGAGAAAATAACAGACGAGGAGCTTCTGTGCAGTCCTGATGTTAATGATGAAACAGAAAAGAAGGTGGAGGATTCGATTTCGAAAAAATGCAATAAAATGACATTGACCAGTACAGTCTGTCTTGACGAAGATGGGTTTCTTTTTGGAGAAAATGATGTTGATGGAGAAATAAGAAGTTATTCAGACAGAAACGAAAACTCCGGTGCATGTTCACAATTACCCTTTGATGACATATCAACTAAAAATGCTGCTGCTGCTTGCCCGAACAAGGATGGGGATGAAATCAAACCAGATACTACTGGTCACCCAAAGCGAATCGAGAACGAAGACGTTAAACTGACAAGTCAGGCATCAAATGATCGTTCGTTGTTGAGTAAACTCAGCGCTATCGTTTGTGATGGAAGCAAAAGTGAGTGGGAAAACCCGAGCCAACAGAGAGCTGATGCTTTAGAGTCGTTACTGGAATTATGTGCAAGGTTGCTTAAACAGGAAAAACTAGACGAGCTCTGTGGTGTGCTTAAACCTTTTGGCGAAGATGTTGTTTCGTCCAGAGAAACAGCTATCTTGTTGACAAAAAGCCTAATGAATGCGCAAAACTTGCCGAAAGGTTCTGGTTCTTAGATTGGATATTATTATATATGTTTTTACATTTCAGATATTTCATAGTAAGTGTGTTTTTTTGGGTGTATTTTTCGTATAATTTGTGTATTGATGAAGAGTATTGGTTTGAATTTATCTAGAACATAAATTTGCAAGTTTTTTGTAGCTGAAAGCAGCTCGTGGTTTGTATATGAAATTCATAAAATAGTTTGGATTGACCATATTAAACGTTAGCGCATTATCCACATCTATCTAGGGATGGCATTTCGGCTCGCTAGCTCGGGCCGTCCATGGCTCGGCTTGGGGCTCGGTAGAACAGAGCCAAGGCTGGGGCCGAGCTCCATTCGGGGAGAACGGGCCAAGCCCAAGCCGGCCCACAGGCCTGCCTCTGGCTGCCTATTAAAAGGCAGTCAGTGCTGGCTGCCTTTTAAGGCAGCACCGCCTGGCTGCCTAATTATTTAAAAAAAAAAAAAAAAAAAAAAAAGGGCATAAAAAGCGAGCCTACCCGGCTCGGCTCAGAAATGCTCGAGCCGAAAGCTCGGGTCGAGCTTAATTTTTTTCGTTGGGCTTTTGCTCGGCTTGAGCCCGGAAAAAAGCCCTCACATTTTACCCGAGTCGAGCTCGAGCCTTGAGTTTCATCTCGCGAGCCAGCTCGGCTCGACTCGTTACCATCCCTACATCTATCCCACCATTCACAGTTTTCTGCTATAATTATCATAAATCTAGTTGAATGAAATTTCCTTGACTTCCCTAATGTAAGTACATTTTGAATAATGCTATCTATCACCATTGGAGTTAGAGCACCAGTCTAGTTCATCACATTTGATATGTCTAATTATATGGATCATTTGACTTTGCATTTAAATAAATAAATAAATCATCTTTTGCCACTTCAACTGATGCTAAGTGCTAGTAAGGTTGAATAGTATTACTTTTATATTTTTTACTTGAGCTTGCATGGAACTTGGGTTATTGGTTGCGATCATTTTTATGACTTTGTGGAGACTTGTGTTTTTGATAAAAAAAACGTGTTAATGAAAGAGGAATTGAGGAGGGGTGCAACGGCTGCAACTAGAGTCCTTGTTTATTGATAGATAAATTTAAAAATAGTGCCCTTTATTTATAGGGATATACTACTTGTACATAATGCGGTGTTCATAACAATATATGTTGAGGATGGACACTGTTATAGACATCTTGATATACATGTAGGATCACTTTTATTTTTAATTGATTAGATCCTCTGCCTTGCTGGCTAATCAATTTAGGAGTGTACATTTATTTGTTTCCATATTTATCTGGATTTTTGAATAAATTAAGAAAACTGTTTGTGACATATGAACTGCAAACGTGTGATGGCTGGCGAGGTGTTGAATTTCTTAGATAAACGGTCAGCATCATGGTCAACAAAAGAAATGCTGAATTTGAGGTCTCACCATGTTTGCTCTATATTAAAGGCAAGAATAAGATTACCAATCACATCTCAACGCGTACGTAAGAAATTATCTCTCTTTTATGTATTCGTTAATAAATTATCTCTCTTTTATATATTGTTTTGAAATGAAAAAAAAAAAATTGAAATTCATTAGGATAATTACATTAATCAATCCAAATAAAAACAGTCTATGTGTAAGATATTTGTTAATTATTTAGTTGAGATCCAATTCAAAGTACAATTATTTAGTTGAGATCCAATTCAAAGTACCAACCATATTTGTGCGCCTCCAACAATAGAATTATTGAAATGAGAAAGTAAGCTTTGGCGCGATTTGATTTGGGTAAATTTCAATTCAAACCAACTCATTCTAGCTCTTAAACCAAATCGAACCAAGCCAATTCGGTTCGGTTAGTCAGTTTGGACTTTTACTCCAAATTGAATTTTTAAAAAAAAAAATTTGTCCAAGTTTTAGGCCAAATTAAATTACAGGAACTAAAATAACTTTATATTACAACAACAAAAACAACTTAATAGAGACAGATCAATAGAAAAATTAAGAATTTTGTTGCATTTTTATGCATTCCGTAGTTTGACTGTCTAAGTAAGAAAAAAGGCTAATAACATAATGAGCTTGTGAAGGGAAATTTCCAATACTATTACTTACTGACAACATCATAAATTGTAGGGAATCGTGATATAATTATGAGATTAGGGATTATCTTTTTATTTTAATTTTTATTTTTCTTACAGAAAAAAAGATAAATATGTAAGTGGGTTGGATTGATTCGATTATCCAATGATTTGATGTTTCAAACCATGACCGAACCAACTCACTATGATTTTATTTAAAAAAAAAAAAATCAAACCAAACCAAACCAATTATCTGTGTCAAACCGACCCAAACCGACCTGAGTTGGTTCGATTTGATTAGTTTGATCGATTTTTTAGTTGTTTTGTCCAGGCCTATGAAAAAGCAATAAAAGTAGTATATTATCTATAACTAAAATTCAATATTTGTTGGTGTGTAATTTTCAAATTGATCTAGACTGGTAGCCTAACTGATTCTTTCACATTACTGGATCCCATGAACCGTGGTATAAAAGGCAATTAAGAAAGCAGAAAAAATTACAACTATAAATTCACACCAAAAAATATTCATTCCAAGCCAAATCATTCAATTCCTCCTTTCCAGCAAATAAAAATGGCACGTTTTGGCGCATTGATGGGAATGGCAATTCTATATTTATCGGTGGTTATCGCACAAGACAGCACATTGCCACCGTCTTCGTCGCCCGTTATGGACACTGGCGATAGCCATGGCCTCCCACTTTCTGGGCCTCTCATTTTTTGTTCAGTGTTCACTTATGTTGTTGCATTTTTGTTTCATTAAATGTTGCGTTGAGAGCACGTTGAGTTTATGCGATGGAGTGTGTGATTATTGACTATTTTGTTTCTATTATTGTAAGCATCTTTCTTTCTTTCTTTCTTTCTTTTTTACTTTTTTTTTTTTGTTTTTATTTTTGTTTTTGTTTTTTGTATGATTGATATATAAATAAATAAATTGTTACGCTTTTCTCCCTATTTTCTTGTTCATTTGTTCTCGATATATAATTATTTTGGCATTAATATGATAAAATAAAAATAAAAATTCATACATAGACTCATAAAATTTGATCTGGTCAAAAATTGGATTATCGAGTCACTGGTTCGACCATCGCATTGATGATTTAACTAATGGGGCAATTTCGATTTTATATATTCAAATATGGTAGAAAAGAAAATAGCAACAATTACAAGCAAAGTAATTCAATATCACGAACTTTTATAACAATAAAAGTCTCTAAACATCAAATTTTTATGGGATGGAATGGACATCAACGAGCTAAAGAAAGAGGTGGAAAGATGAGATCGCTTATATATATATATATATGGAAAAAAAATATGAAATTTGAAACAGAGAAAAGAAAATTCATTAGACATGGAAAATTGAACTGCAATGGATTTTAAAAGTCATTCTAAATTTAGGTATTTTCAATTAAAATTTTATTGGGTTTTACTTAAATTCAATAAAATTTAGGTGTCCCCAATTGAAATTTAATGAAATCCTTTAAAATTTAGGTATCCTCAATAATTAGTGGATTTATAAAGATTTCATTAATAGAAGGATTTTAAAAGATTTGAATGTATTTCAAGTTTAAAAATACATATAAGTAAATCTTTTTAAATTTCACTATATTTGATAAGATTTTTATGAAATTTGTAAGAATCTATTTAAATCCACTAAATTCATTAGAATTTATAATCATTTAAAATTCATTAAAATTTTCGTTGAGAACATCCTTGTTAATTTTAAGCCAGGGATATACATAGTTTAAAATTAAAATTAATGAAACGGAAATTTCGGGTCGCTGGGTTCAGATGGTTTTTTATTCAAGTCAGTTGGCTTAAATCGAGTTTGATAATCATGCAAAGAGTAATTTATTATTGAAAATTATTTAAAACTCTCGGTCTCTAAATATAAGTTTGCTTTCCTTTTACGTTTTTCTCAAATTATAATTGATTTTTTTAACATTCTCACATGTTCCTATTTAATTTGTCTTTATATCTACAAATATGAATTATTCTTATTTAAATTAATCATTTAATGTGGGTGTATATTAGGAAAAATTTATGTAAAATTTCTTTTCTATAAAAAATTATTTCAATTGTCATTTGTCTTCTTTATGTAAATCTTCGGCCATTTTATAATAATTCTGAACCTGTACACAAATTGAATAATACTATTTACGATTTTTCACTAATGTAGTCACTCTACCTAGTATACATATGATGATCCTCACACATTAAATCATCAATCGTCACATGTACCTCATATAGAACAACTATGATAGTGAACGATTGCAAATAATATTATTCCTTGAAATTTTGCCCAAATTCTCTTATCATTGGTGGTTGTGATCATTTTGATAAATTCGACTATCAACTTTATTATTGATGGTCAAAATTCATTAGTTGTAGTTCGTTTTGTAAATTTTTTATTTTATTTTATTTATTGAAGCACAACATTGAAAGAAATTATTTATTAAATTTGACGTCAAAATTAATAATAAAATCATCGTGTTTTGCATTATATTAATATTAACATGTTATACTTTTGTTTAAATAAAAAAGGAATAGAAAATAAGAAATATAAACTAACGTTTTAGCGTTGAAATTCTGCTCGGAAATGCATAATGAAGAATACCAGCGTGCTGTCTTACGCAAAAACACCGTTACTAACGCGGACTTTAACCTCAATTTAAGAATATAATAATAATAATAATAATTAATAATAAGATTAATGTCCAGTGAGATTTCACTATACGGCGCCGTTGCGCAATCATAGCAGAATATAATAATAATAATAATAGTTAATAATAAGATTAATGTCCAGTGAGATTTCACTATACGGCGCCGTTGCACAATCATAGCTGTCCAGAGTTTCACACGCTAGCAGCTGACCTGTGTTTTGTTCTGTTAACCAATAATATCCCGTCACCAGCTGTCACTTTTTCTTTCGTGGACCCCACATCCCCTCTATATAAATACAACACCAACGAACCCTTGAAACTCACACAGTCACATTTCATATACAATTTGAGTTTTCTGCGAATTAGTATCCTATGGCGCAAATTAACATTGTGAAGGTCTCCTTGCTAGCATACGCCCTTGTGGCTCTCTCCGTCGTCGCCATCACCACTGTCTCTGCTCAGGCGCCGGCACCTTCACCAGA